GTAACTTAACTTGTTGCAATAGATTCCTGTGTTTCCTTTCACCTCGGGGGCCCAATGGCAGAATCATCACAAAGAACAAGACACACATCAAGTGCTTTTTCGATACTAGTACAGATTCAGGAGAACCCCTCAACGACTCTTTGAAAACCAAAGGGTGCCGAGGCTTTGGACTTTTGAGCCTGCCTTCCTCCAACCTGCCAAGGATTGGGCCTGCTCAGACGCCTCCAGGGTCAGGCCCTGAGAATTCCAAGGAATAACTTTCTCAAAAGGTCAGATGTTTTGCGGACGCCCAGCAAGAACAGTTGGTTGAGTTCACTGCAATACGCGCATTGTGATGTTGGCAGCTCAGGTCGTTTTCGGAGACGTCGCAGCAGGAGAGGGAGACCAAACAAGATTATGGGCATTCTTTGTGATACAAACGCAGATATATATATATATATATATTATATTTACTTATATACGCACACGCCGTGTCAGTCGTAAGTCCTTCTCATTTGGCCATTTGGGGGGGCTTGCAGATCTGGCCGAGCGACTTCGGACGGTTGTGAGGAGCGCTTCCTGCCACACAACATCCTCTCTGACCCCACCACGGCTTCACAGGTGAGGCTGTCGATGGTGACCATGTTGCCCGATGGATGGGTCCGGTTTGGGCCTGCTTGGCCTGGTCTCAATGATGGAGCGCCCGCCAAGTCGCTTATTGTTTCAAGCTGTTTGTGTGGGAAAGGATTTGGTGGCCCCACCAAGTTCCCATGTTGAGCCATAGCTTGGATGAGGAAGCCGCATGAGGTTTCACGAGCAAAGCACGCTGAATTCAAATTACTGCAGATCAATCAACAGCTGGTGAATAGCTGTTGGCATTCTGTCTTTCACGAATTGCCCCCAGGCGTGCACTTGACTCACTTTGACCGGTGAACTCAACCGTGCAACCTGCAGGTGTCTGCCAATACATCCAATACATCGCCAGACTGTCACAGCTCTGGCCCGGCAGCACGAGCGGTCACGGGGTGGTTCAAGACGGCTCCCCGCGTCCCTATTCCAGGATGCATCATAAGATCCTAAAAGTTGAGGGCAGAGTTGGTAGAGGTTTTGTGATTGATTGCATGTGTGCCCATCGCGATAGCCAGTAGCATTGAGGCAACATGCTGTTGCAAGATTTGGCAGCACGGGTGGAGTAAGTGCAGCTCACCAAGCACCTTTTCAGGTGCTTTAAAAGGGGCTTAACGCTGGGCCGAATGTTGCTATATGTTGCTGCCCTGCGTGCTATGAACACGAACACCTGTTGATAATTCCATTGGTTCAATTTCAAGTGTAGTGCCAGATTTTGGAGCCTCTTAGTTCGGTTGTCATTGGCTCCTACAAATCGAGTCATAGACTTCAAGTGGAGTGAAGCAACAACGTCAAGCATTTGCTGGCTTGAGCCATTTTGAGCCAAAGGACCCATATGGGACAGTGGTGAAAGCCACAGATCACCTGTCCAAAGACTTCCGGTGCCCCTGCCTGCCGCGCCAAGGCTTTGTCGTTCCATTCCAAGGTACAGATGACCGGCTTGGGCCTGAGATTCTGGCATTGGATCTTTTTGCAGCAGTCTGGAAGCGTGGCTGAAGAAACGGAACACGATGTAAGCCGACCGGTGAATTGAGTTGTAGAGAGATTGAACACGCTTCAATCAAGAATTCTAAGGTTACTTGTTTGAGAGGAAGACCTATTCGTCAAACCTGGTTTCGTCCAAAGACAAGACAGGAAGAACTCGTGAAGACCAGAGCCATGGCTCTCTGGAGCTTAGGTGGGTTTGCATTCCCTCCGGCATCGTGGAGAGACACAAGGCCCTGTCCCGGTCGGCCATACCCAATTCCAAGACCATAGGCAGGCGACATTTCCATGCTTGGAAGTCATGCCAGGCTTTATCATGGAGTGAGTGTCCGAACTCATGGAAATGACTCATCCTACTTGTAGCATCGAGGAAGAATACCTGCATCAAGATGTGGATGATGTGGATGCAAATGAGAACTGCGCAACTAGAACATGGGGATGTCGGGGCTAGAGCATGGGGATATCGGGCCTGGAGGTCTTGGTGAAACTGCGCTGGTGTGTTGCCCTTCCAGGCGCAGTTTGAGGCGCCCAGCACCGATGGCCACGAGGCCGGAGTGAAACATAAGACATGCAGACGAAGTCACATATTTGCTGAGCCTGGCGTATGATGGGGCACCCATGTCTGATGCGGTTTCAGAAGGAGGCCCCTCAAAGCAATATGGCAATCAGTGTTGTGACAAGGTTGCTATTTCGATGCTGTATATTTGATGTTGTTTGGACATCATCAATCCTTGCGATGACACAGAGAAACCTGCCTGTATTGAGGTGGTTTTCAAATGGTTGGCGACAATACTTGTTACATAAATTTGCAGAATGTCACAGACCTATGTGGACCATTGTGGACCTTATAAACAAATATATATATATAATATATATATATGTATAATAATCTATATATATAGTCTGTACAAATCAACCTCAGAGCTAACTCGTGCCTTTCTGGATTCTGAAGTTGGTGAGACGAACGTTGGTTTTATTTTACCTCATTTTCACTCCAATGGCAGATCATTGAATCATGCTATAATCATGCATGGGGATTGGGATTTCCTCTACACAATCGCGGGGGTTGGGACCCCTAAAAAGCTAAAAAGTGAGGTGTTAAAACAGGACGGATTTTGTTGGTTAACATGGAGGCTTGTAAGTACAAGCCTTGAACTTTCTCGGTTTTATAGAGAGTAGCTACAAGCTCGATTCTTTGGAGGTGTTGTAGTAATGGTGCAGTGGATCTTGGTACCTCAAGCATGTTGATTCCATGGAGAATTGTTTCATTTTTTTGCATGTCAGGGAACTGTTATTTATAGAAGATTATAGAAGCTTATGTTCTTTAATTTCGAGTTCAAAACTCGCCTGGTTCCGAGAATGCGACCCTTGTTTTCACTACAAGTTTGAGGTCCTTCCAACAGGTGAATCAATGCCTTCCTGGACAGGTGCATGTTTATGTTTGGTTCCAGTACCCACCTTAATTCTATAGAGACCTATTTTCTGAATCCTATTGAAAAACACCTGTTCCGCGGTACCTCAGGACCGTCACTTTATAGAGCAAGATCCTCAATGTTCACAGTTTTTTACAGACTCATGGCCCTCAATTCTGTAGAGCTGACTCCTTGTTTCTGGACTCTTTTCCTATATCCTTCTCACTTTTATAGAATCAACAAGTTCGATTTTTTGAGCGGGGGTGGTCCCACTATTTTAGCACTATAAAATCGCTATCCCCGACTTACCCACTTACTTACTGTAACTCAATGGGGATAATCATGCTATATCACGGGGCTCGGTGGGAAGAAAAACCTTAAGACTTGCTGCGCCCTATTTCTTTGCACCGGTCAGGAGCTTGCACATTCCTCTGCTCAAGCCTGGTGGCCAAGGGTGGAGAGACATCATGGCGGAGAGTTGGGGCAGGAAGAGCATGAAGGAACTGCGAAGAACTAGCTAGCAGCCAAGGACAGTGACCGACGCACATAGGCCAGAGAACCTCATGAAATAGACAGATTGTGGCACTAGGTAGCAGGTAGCACTTGGATCTGGTGTTAACTTATCAGGATGACAGGTTCTAGTTTTACGCATTTTTGGCTAGGCTATGGGAGTATCTCCTCATATGATGTCGCAGATTTGTAGACGGAGAAGGTCCGAGCGGAGCTTGATACACACCTGGATAAAACCAACATCCTGGTCGCACGCGCTTTGTGGACTTTGCTTTTTCCTCGCTGGATCTCCAGGCGAGCACAGAAGCTCGTGGCAGTGGCAGCGCTTCGTGAGTCAAAAAGTCTGCCAGGATGTGATCTGAGGGCTGGACCGGCTGGACCCCCGTCAGCTATGCAATGAGAAATGAGAATGGGCACTTCCCACCCTACTATGGCTTCTTGCTCCTAGTAGCAAGAATGCTACTACTAGTGGTATGTAATGAATGTAATGCCCTTTGTTACTAGTAGCGGTGCCCTTCGTTACTATTAGCTTCTTGTTACTAGTATGGCCAAAAACATTCCCCCAAACTGTTTGAATCGTGCTCACGGGCCCTGACAGACCCACAACCACCAGAACCCACACAAGGCGGCGCGGCTGCATCGTTGCACAAGCCGTGCCAAAAGCTACGAATAAAGCCAGAGTCAGAAGTGCACGGGAATTTAATTCTTCATTCTTTTGTATGACTGAATATGATGAACACCTAGCGGAATTGAGTCTAATTTTTTGATAGGACAAACGGCCCCGAACGGCCGACGGAATTCCAACCATCCGTGACGAGTCTTTTTGCAAGCCCAAGTATTTATATAGTTGGATAGTTTGTCGGACCACTCGCCAATCCTGACGGAGGTTTTGACAGTACAGTATATAAGTGTTTTCACTTTGCACACTCGGCTCAAGTTTATGTTTTTTTGGTTCAGTTTTGTGTTTTGATTATTGAGGGGCCACCCTTAAATTAGGCTTGGCCAATGTCCGGATGGAGCGGAGGTGGCTGGAATGGCGGAGGTGGCTGGAAAGGCGGCGGAGGGGGTGGATGGAGCAATGACAACTGGCGCGATGGCGGCAACTGGAGGGATGACAAAGGTGGCCGCAAAGGCGATAACCGCGAAGGTGGCAAGGGCAACCGCGACGGTGGCAAAGGAAACCGAGATGGTGGCAAGGGTGGAGGCAAGGGTGGTAAGGGTGGTGACTCAGGACCCCCACCTGCACCTCGTGGGGCAGGAGAAGCACTGCAGCCAGGTGAAACCATCAAGTTGAATGTGAATGACTGTGAGGCTGGACTCACCTTGATGGGCGGTACTGGTAGCGGTACCCGTGAGCGAGCCAAGAGAAAGGCAGATAGTGGAACGCAGTGGGCTGGCGTGCGTGCAGATTGTGGTGTTGCAGCCGAGGGATTGTGGGCCTTCTGCGTGTGGAATGAGACTGGTGGGAACTTGCGAATTGGCTGGTCCATGGAGAATTCCAAGCTGGCCTTGGGCACAGAGCCTTTGCTTTAATGGTGTCAACCCTTTACTCATCTTTACTCCGTGCATTGAGACTGGAGCTGGCACCACTGGAGTTGTACTGAAGGTGCTCTTTTGAAACAACCTGGCTTCCCTCAAACAAGTCTCATTGGGGCTTTCCTGGTTGCACTGGCCTCTGCACGCTTGGACAGAAATAGTTACATCAGTTGCAGCACGTTTCTTCCGTAAGGCAGCCCAGCTTGTCAATCCTCAATATTCCTTCACCAACCGGTTCATGAGCTGGCCAAGCTATGCCAACCTCACAATGTCTTCCATGTTACAAGCCCAGCAGCTCCCCACGTGTTTTAACAAGCCTAATAACACTTGCCGAAGGCCCTGAGACATCTCTTTTGCATTCTTTTGCGACTTGCCCCAACGGCACAAAGGATCGCTACAGTTGGGGCTTCGGTGGAACTGCTACCAAGAGCCATGCGGGAAACTTTGAAAAGTTCGGGCAGACCTTTGGCAAAGATGATGCCATTACCTGTTGCGTGGACCTAGAACCTTGGTATGTGCTCTTAAGATCGTTTTGTTTTTCTTTTTTAGGGGGACGTCTCGGACAGTAACCCACAGATTTTTGTATAATTTTGGATGTACGCTGTCATTCATATGACAAGCTAATCAGCTAATCCATCAAACATTGATTGCGCGGCATTACACGGCATTATACATTTACATTGACCTTTGGGGGTTCAGGTTGTTAAGCAGTGTTGCAAAGTCCAGTGTTGTTTGAAGGCCTTGCGTCTTGCGTCCTTCATTTGATATGGACTGTGAACACACAAACTTTATAAGTTCTGAAAATTTGGTTCAACTTCAGCATCAGCCAGGAAAGAAGAGCAATTTTGTATTTCAAGAATGGACGTGAGATTCCAGGCTGCTGCCGTCGCAGTCACGGTCACAGTCACATTGGCGGGCAGTTTTGTTGGTTTCTTGTAGGTCAGATCACAAGTGATCACCCACCTTTCAGCATATTGTTCTTGACTACTGCTGCAACATTGGTCGCAACACATGCATGTCCGAGGAGCAACTAGTGTGCATTGTCAATGAAGCACTGGATGCATAGACAACCACAGTTGTTATTTGTGAGGGTGGTATGTAATTAGGCTGGTAGCTGTATGAAGCACCCCATCCGAATCCTATCACTGAGCATCATTCGTAACCCTATAGCCTATAGCTTTAAACAATTGTCTCTGAAAATTGATAACGAGGCGGCTAGGAGAGATTGTATGAATCTGGCGGTGTGTGCTTACTTGGAAGGTGATTGCTTCACCTTCGGCAAGGAGCTCTCAGGTGTGGCCTTTATATTGGAGGGTTGGCTGATCAGGACGGAGGGACGCACAAACGCCACAACAGTTTGAAGATGCTGTTGTGGCATGGGTTGATTGCTCACAACACATGGAGCGTGCCAAGTGTCTCTTTTTGGAATGATTTGCCGTCCAAATTTTTGAGCACCCAATTGGCACAAGTTGAAGCGAAAGAGTTCCTGACATGGCCACGAGGAGATCAGGGCCATGGTTCACTTGCGGTAGGACTTCCACAAACATGATGTTAACCACAGATAAAATATATAGATTATAGATTGATTGCCATGTGGCGCCAGGTTTGCAACCTTAAATCTAGAACTTCAAAGTTGTATGTTATATATACCCCACAGGTTTTTGCTGCATTTGGCATTCACACGATGCACCACTTGTGCTTGTTTACTTTGTTGCACCAGTGGCCAGTGACCAATTGGCCGGCTGGCCACCCATGGCAGGTGTGCCGCTGTTCCCCCATGTCTACACCAAAGAGGCAACCTTTTCAATCTCCTTCGATGGCAGTGGTGGTGCTCCTCCCTTGTCTGGAGGCTGTGTGTGGGCCGATGGTGTGACACAAATTGAGTCAAATCAGAAGGTTGGTCAAAGCATGTGAAAGCGATTTGGGGAGTAACAATCGTTGAAATTGAAATAGCAGTACCTGCAAGATCCTGCAAACCATCAACTATTCCATGTGTGGCCCAGATCCCCATCCGCCCTCACTTCCAAGCTGCTTGGCCACCCTCCAGGCTTCAAGTGGATCTCGGAGGCGGCCCTGGTGCCGCACCCCACGCGCGTTTCAGGCGCTGGGCCCAGTGTGACGGAGCCGGCACCTGAGGCGCAGGGAGATGATGGGCCCAAGTTTGTGTTGACGCCCTACGGATGGCGGACCGTGGAACAGGCCGGTGGCTTGACACAGGAGCCTGGGGGCGTTAGGAATGAGTTGCACGTGGTGTGTCCTATCATTGGACGGCCGGGGGTGACATTGGAGTGGAGGTTTTTCAAACCGAGGAAGAAGGTTTTGGATGGTAGATTGGTCAAGCACCTGCATTTGATCGTCCACCGCACCAAACAAAGACCCTTGAGGAGTGGCGTACCTCCTTGGATGCCTATGTGCGGCACTTCACGTCGAGTTTGGAACTGGAATACGAGGCCACTAAAGTCGTTAAAAGGGTGTCCATCGTGAGTTGACCAAAGTGGAATTACTGTTGTCGGGATGGTAATGCCAATTAGTTCACACATTTTGTTCTTGTTAGGTTAGAGGCCATCGAATCTAGGTTGGAGGCCATCGCTATTAGATTGATAGTGATAGTCTATCAGTGATAGTAGCGAAGTGATAACAAGTTCACAGTTGCGAGGCCGAGAGGCAGGCAGTGCTGGAGAAGGTGCAGAAGCGAAGTACCCGACAGCTTCAGGATGAGGGCATCGGTATCGCAGGTGCCGTGCCAACGACGGTTGGTGGGAAGATGGATGTACTGTAAAACAATGTAAGACTACTGGAAGTTTCCGAAGTAGGGAGATGTCCTCCCCAGTTGGTGGGGTTTGTGGTCTTCTCTCTTGAGGCCCTGTGTCAGTGTGGGACAAGATGGAAGAAGATTGCTGTCAGTTTCTACCCAACAGCTAAGGGTATTGGCGGCAGGCAAAGCAACACGAGTCTAGTAGAATTGGCACCATTGGACCATTCGCCACATGCGGCTGGAGTGTAATCCAATGTACGGGAACGGCCCATCCTCAGCGCTGAGCAACAGATTGTACTGGTTCCAGAATTGCCCATCATAAGCCATACTCCTTCCTACCAACCCTCAATGAGGGTATGTTCGATGACATAAATGACCCTGTACTCATCATGCTGAGGCCTTTGCGCAGAGTTCGATGCTGTCTATGGCCGTGTCTCCCTCTGGCCTGACGGCTGGCGCATGCCGTATCTCTCAGAATCTTAGAGGTCACAGAGGTTCATGTGGTTGCGAATGCAGGATATTACAGGTTTAAATAATGTTCACAAGCTACAGGCTACAGGTGTTTACGATTCGTATTTATTTGTTTAAACATGTTTAAACCAATTTTGTGAATGATATATGTTTTTCCTGTCCACATTTACACTCTATACTTGGTGAAAGGACTGGATCACGGTGAAGGATTATGCAGTGGTTCCTGGTACATGATGGTGACCTGGTCACAGCTTGGTTCACAACCTCTTATCATCCTTACCTATCAACAAGTTGCAAGAATTGTATGGCAGACTTGCGTGGGAGCATGCCAGCAAGCAGTGCAGGGAAATGGCTTGAGACGCCTCACCTAGAGTTGACAATCACTCACGACTTGTTGTGACCGAATTTTGACGTAATACTTGTAGGCTCGAGGGTAGGCGAATTTATTTGTGAGGAGAAATGGAGGGGGGTGCCTGCACCCTCGATCCAGAGGAGTCGGCAGCCCTCCTCAATCTCCTCAGTGAGATAGGTCTCACTGGACCTCGTCTGGCGGTGAGAGATGGATCCGAGCCTGTCCTCGCCCGTCAGTTGACGGACCGGCTGGGGATTGAGATGAGGCCTTGGCATGTTACCTTCATGACTGGACAGGTCAGGAAGCTGTCCAGATGGTGGACTTGGACGAGCGTGTTGCGGGTACGCCGTCATCGAGTTCTATGCAGAACCTGTTGGATGCCAAGGTTGTCATCGGCAAGGAGAAGATGAAGACCCTCGAGCCTACAGTTACACCAGTGGTCTTTCCAACAGTGCCGAAAAGGGGCACACTGGGGAGGACCGTGAGGTTGAGGAGCGGGAGAATAGCCTCCGAGGATGAAGTGACCGATAAGGTCCTGGACAAGTTGGTTGATGAATTGGTGCGACGCAAGGCACCGGTCCTGGACGAGATGAAGAAGACATTGAATCCGACGAGGGCCAAAGAAGCATTGTTGGGGAAGTACAGAATTTCTACTGTACGAAGATACCTGGCTTCGTGGCAACGCTTTAGGGAGTGGGCAGACAGCCTTGGAAGCCCCGGAGTGAAGCCCAACAGCGTGACCCTTGTGGACTATATGTATGCAAGGGAGGAAGAGGGCATGGGACCATCTATTTCTTTGTCCGTTAGTACGGCGGTGGCATGGTTCGAGAGGACTGCAGGGATCCCAGAGGAGGATCAGTTGATGGCCCAGACCTTTCCGCAGATGGTGATGAAAGAGCTCACACGGAAGCTGGAACAGAAGGCGCCCCCAGTTCGGCGAGCGCCTCGTTGGCTGGGATGCTTCATCGCGCCGATGGAGACCTTGGTGGTGGATGGTGCAACCCCCTTCGAGGTTCGCATCTGTGCATGGTTCAAGCTCATAAAGCTGTGGGCCTCAATGAGGTTTGACGACGCAGCGCATTTGAAGACCTCTGAACTTCGCTTCTACGACGGCCAGTTGATTGGCATGATGCACCAATCGAAGACCACCGGGGCAGGGAAGAGAGTGCGAGAGCTGCCGATCTTCATCGCAAGAGACGCCTATGTCTTGCAGGACGACTGGCTCTCAGTGGGCTTCGACCTTGTGAAGCTGCAGATGCCGAGGGACAGAGTGTTTGTGTTCCCGGAAGGCTGCTTCTACGGAGTGAAGTACGGGACATCGCATGTTTCGTACGCCGAAGCGGTGGCAGGGAGCTCAAAGACGATGGCATTGTTAGAGGGGTACAGTGGCCGCTTGATCCCTTCCGGATGGGAAAGGTTTTGGTCAGAGCACAGTGAACGTGCAACCCTCCCAAGTGGACTGGCCGCCCTTGGTGTGGAGAAGTCAAGTCGTGACCTTCTAGGCAGATGGTGTCCGGAGGGGTCTGACGTTTATGTGAGGACCTACAACTCCATTGTGAGGAAGATGCAGAAGAAGATTGTGGCAGTGCTCCGGGGAGAGGCAGCATATGAGGAGTTGGACGAAGGGTGCGTATTGGAAGAGTTGAAGGTATGGCTCCATGAGAAGTGGACGGTTCCTGAAGATCAGGCTGGCCGAGCCGTGGAGGCCTGGAAGGACAAGATCGGAGTGAAGGGGAGGCCACAGGCGACGATCCCGATCTCGGAGGAGGAGACCACGATCTATGATGGTTCCCAAAGTGAGAAGGAGGAGGACAACAAGGCCCAGCGCGACCCAAAGAGGAGAAAGATGAATGAAGCCCTCGACGAAGAGAGGGAAGGGAACTATGTAGTCGTGTACAGGCGGGCCGGAAGGGGCACACTTCATCGGCTAGGCGAGAAGCGTTGCTGGATGGCCAAGAAGAGGGTCTTTTTGAGGTCTGAGATCCATAAACACCTCCCACAGCCAGAGGAATATACACTTCGATGCAAGCTGTGTTGGAGTGGAGGTGATGACCAATTGAGCGAGTCCACAAGTGATTCGGAGGACGAACTCAGCCTTAGCGACTGAAAAGGAGTTGCTGGTGGGCATCGGAAGGGTTGGTCAGGGGAGGCTAGTATCCCCTGGGTCGCACCCAGGGGCGGGTAATGAGGACAGCAGCGCATGTCACACACCCAGAGAGCGCCACTGGTAGGAGGTAACAGCAACCCTCAGCCGCTCAGGCCGGGGGTCGCAGCGCCGCAAGTGCATTGGTGGGACCAGTGGAGGAAGAGGCGGGGTCGCACCTTCGACAGACGGAATTCTGTGTCACATAGCATATGTGCATAGCATGCACTACTGGCACCGCAGTGTCATGAGCAGTGTCGCACGCTGTGATCCTGATCGGTTCAATCAGGAGGGGCGGGGTCCGCGGGGTTTGGACAACCAGAAACTCTTCTACCACCATGGAGTCACGACACTTGAGAAGTTGTCGAACTTTGCAAAGGACAGAGAGGATCTTGCAGCGGTGCTCAAGGACCTTTGGGAGCTCGACTCAAGCAGGACTCTGGACGAAAGGGTGCAAGTGGCAGCGATCACTTGCGCATACAACAATGCCAAGACCAGGAGTCAGAGAGCAGCAGAGGTCGACGCCAAGTACGACACATTGCAGTGGTCAAGGCCGGTGGTAGCAGGGGAATGGGCGGCAATGCGTTCAGCTCTAGAGCAACGCTACGGCCATTTGGACGACAAGATCTACCCCTCGAAAGAATATGTCGAAAAGAAATTGGCCGAGATCGAAAACGGTGAATACAGGGCTGAGGAGCTTACAGAAGTTGTGTCAAAAGAAGAAATTGAGCCTGATGTTGTGGTGCCTATTTGGGACTCCAAGGGCCGTTTGGCCATGCGCAAGGGCTCAACGAAAGTGCCCGAACCGACGAACGCCGAAGAACTCAGGCGGCGCTTGACAAGCTGGAAGAACGCAATGGTTATGATTTCCCTGAAGCATTCCAACCGGCATGAGCTGCAGGGTGCATGGGAGGAGACAGTCGAGCAGTACAAAGACTACCTCCTGGGCGATTACGTCTATGGCTTGAATGCTAAAGATGCTGAGGGCCAGACCTTGCTTCACCACCCTGGAAGTTGATCCTTGCATATGAATGTGCAGTTCGGAAGCAGGCCGTGAAGATCACGAATACAGAGGGGAAGCCACTTACAGTCGCATTGAAAACAGCCTGGAAGGGTGCAACCATCAAGGAGAGGAACTTCACTACACCGCTGGCGCTCTACGCGAAGAGGCCGCTGCCCCCATGGAGGGAACAGCCACCAGCAAAGTGGCCCGCAGCTGAGAAGGGCGGCAAAGGCAAGGAGAAGGGTAAGGGGAAGAAAGGCAAAGGAAGGGGAAGTGGACATTGTGCAACACACACGCCAGAGGGGGACATGATCTGCTTCCGCTACAACACGCCAGGAGAAAAGTGCAAGATGAGCAAATGCAAGTATCGGCATGTGTGCGGTATTTGCTATAGCGACAAACACCCACTCTACGAGCGCAAGCCAAAGAATCGTAAAGAAGCAACAGCACCTGACACAGATGGGTCAAAGTGAGCTGTTTTGAGAGTTCTTTATGTTTTCTCTGGCAGGCAGAGGCGCAATTCAGTTGCAGGATTTCTCCGAAGGCTTGCATCGCAGCAAGGGGTCCATGTGGAGATCACAGAACTGGACATTCAGTCAGATCGCAAGTCAGATTTTACCATACCTTCAGTACAGAAAAAGTGGCTGCAGTTGATTACCAAAGGTATCTTCTATGCAGTCATTGTGACGCCACCCTGTTCGACCTTTTCGAGAGCAGTGTGGGCTAATGATTTGGGTCCTTTCCCACTGAGGAGCTCTGCGTACCCAAGGGGGTCTCCTTGGAACAGAGGCGATCGGTTTCACAAAGCTGAATTTGGTACAGTCCTGGCAGAGTTCTCATTCGAGGCATTGAAGCGGCAGTTTGCATGCAAGAGGCGAATCGGCCTCATGGAGCAGCCTGAGGACCTTGGGCGCACAAACTATGAGCGGGTTCCAGGGCATCGGCCGGCATCGATGTGGCAGTTTCAGCAGTTTCAACAACTTTTGGAGCTTCCAGGAGTACAGACAGTGGTTTTTGCACAATCTGAATTCGGTACAGATTCACCTGAGGATATTTGCACCTCTTCATCCTGCGATGTATCCTGGTGAGCCACACTTTGATGGTCAAGGTTGGTACTTGGGACCTCTTCCCAGGCAAACGTGCAAAGCATCCCTCATCGGCAAATCCAATGGCATCTTCAAGACAGCACACTCGGCCGCGTGGCCCTCCCAGCTGTGCCAATGGACAGCTGAAGCAATCCTCACCTCCTTTGTGCAAGAGTGTAATGGGGGGGGGGTGAGGTTTCTTTGAAGAGGAAGGGTCAAGATGCACCCTTACAGGAGGAAAAACGGCAGAAGGCAGCGCCCGAGAAGGTGGCGGAGAAGGCGTTGGTAGAATGCATGAGACCGTCTGTTCCTGGTGGTGAAGGTCCACCGAGGTCGTGCCGGTGGAAGGGGTTGGAGGCCCCCCTTTCATGATGGAGGAGGGCTGGCATCACCTGGGAGGTGGTCTCCTGGAATGAGGAAGGTGTTGGAGGGGGGATGCATGGCGAAGTGTGAGGCACCATCTCCTTTTAGAAGCTGTCCGAGTGCTTGGTAGTGTTTCTGAGGTGGAGAAGGAGGCCTACCGCATGGCAAAAGGGGGAGACAACTTCAAGCTGGTGAGAGAGGAGTCAATTTTGCAGAGGATCAGGCAAGTACTGGCTGAGAAGTTGGACATTGCACCTCAGGAGGCAACCATTCTTTTTGGACCTCATGAAAGGGATCTGGAGAAGGCTGGCGGCCCTGTTGGGGTTTCTTGGAGCAGGCAAAGACCGGGCTCCCACTGGGCGTGTTGAGAGAGCTTCCCAGGCACGTCTGAGTGCCGCCCTGATGAGAATTGTTTACTGGGTGCTCGGGGATGGTTTCCCCAATGACATGCTGCTCTACGCGGATGATTTGGAGGTCTTGACCATGGGCCGGGAAGGGCGGATTGGAGGAGTCCTGGCCTTTGCTCTCATGGCAGCGCTTGGTGCCCCCTTCAAATGGGCGAGGATAGGACTACCACCGACTACAGAAACTTTTCCATGGGACTTTCAGCTCGAAAGGCATCTTGGGTCATCAGCTGGATTGCTTTCTGAGGGCAAGAAAGGAGGTCGGATGCCGTGAATTTGCGGCCGGGCTCGGGAGGCTGGGCTTTTCTGCGCTGGCTTTGCCTTGGGAACGACCGCTGCTTGGGCCGCTCTACGCCTGGTCGTCAGCAATACAATCAAACAGGGGGGCTATGACAATACCATGGTCAGTGCAGCTCATCTTGGACTGGATTTCACACAGGTTGAGGTCTGGTGGCAGGATGGAGGTGGTCAAGCCACCGCCAATGCGGGGGGACAGCTCCTTGAGGATTTGGACTGATGCCAAGGCGACAGAAGACGCGGCCTGGGTTGGAGGTTGGCTGGAGGAGGACGTTGACAGCAAACAGTGCAGATGGTTTTCTTTGCAGGTCACAGAAGAGCTTGCCCTTTTGGTTGTTCTATAGGGGGAGGAACCCTAAGAGAGTCATTGCTGCATTAGAATTGCTTGCCACCCTGATTGCATTGAAGTTGTGGCTGAGGGGTGCTGGCGATTCAGCTGTGGTGCATGCAGAGGCTTTCACAGACAATCGGGGAAACGCCTTCATCCTCCGCAAGGATCTTTCCACGAAATACCCAGTCACCCTGTTGGTCATTGAAGTGGCTGAGACACTTAGGCGGCTTGATGCCTATGCAAGCCTCACGTGGGTGAGGCGTGATGGCAATGAGCTGGCTGACGCGCTGACCAATGAGGACTACAGTGCATTCGACGTGCAGAGAAGAGAGATAGTGGATGAGAAAAGTTTACAGTGGTTTGTCATGGATGAGCTGCTAAAGGAAAGCGAACAACTTTTCAATGAGATAAAGGAGCACAAGAAGAGGGAAACTAAGCTTGTAGCAGGCCCAGCAAAGAGAAAGGCCAACAAGTTTTTCGGTCGGTGGAAGTCCTGACTGAAGTTGGGACAGTCTGTGTCAGAGCGCCTCTGACACAGCCGGCAGGAGTTTATCCAACCGACTTGAAAAAGGGTGTCTCTTTGCGCGGTGTGTTTACAGTCATGTCCTACAAGCTTCTAGTCAGAAT